CGCCCCCCGCCCCCGCCAACCCGGAAGCCGCCCGCGCCCGCGCCCCCGCCAGGACGCCCTCCAGGTGCCCACCTGCGCCACGGACCGGGAGACCAAGGTCCTGGCCGCGGCCCCCGGACGCTGCCAGGACCCGAACCCACCACTCCCAAGTAGTCACGCCCCGAGGCACCCGCTCTGACATCTCCGAGGAACCCGAAACATGCGGGATCCGCCCAGTCGACCCAACAAAGGCTTCCTGAGCTGTGCCATTGTCCCGGGCATCTCACCCCGCACATCCTGCCCGAGCTGGCGCTTTTCATCACTCTGTGCTGGGCCGGCAAAGTTGTCCAAGTGACGCAGAAGACGCCCAGGCCCAGGCTGCTTTACATGTGAGGACACGGAGGCCCAGAGAGGGGACCCGCAGAGTCAGCCTCAGGGCTCCAACCCTCGCATCTCAGTGTCGGGGGCCTCATAAGCACAAGCAGCAGCAGCATTCTGGTGTGGGCCTCAGTTTCCCATTCTGTACAGCAAAGACGGGCTGAGAGTGGGGGGGTCCGGGTGGGACTCAAGCACGTTCCGTGAGGCGTAGTAGGTGTGTGTGTGTGTGTGTGTGTGTGTGTGTGTGTGTGTGTGTGTGTGTGTTGTGAGCAGTATCCTGTGCAGATATGAGACGATGTTTGTGTGTATGCATGATGCTGTGTTCATGAACGGTGCCAAATACATGTCATGTGCTGCATCTGTGTGTGCACAGGCAGTGTTTGCTTATGTTTGCCATATTTGAATGTGCAATGTATGTGCTTGGGTGGTGGGCATGTGTATGTGTACGTGTGAGATGCTTGTATGCGTGCATGGCATGTTTGTATATGCATGTGTATGTGTAGTGTGTGTGTGTGTGTATGTGTGTGTGTGTGTGTGTGTAGTATGTTTTGTTTTGTTTCTTTTTTGAGATGGAGTCTCTCCATATAGCCCTGGCTTGGTTTGGAACTAATTATGTAGGCCAGGCTAGCTTTCATCTCACAGAGATCTGTCTGCTTCTGTCTCTGCCTCCTGAGTGCTGGAATTAAAAGGTGTTTGATACTGTGCCCAGCTCTAGTATGTATTTTTGATAGCAGTGTGCGCTACCTGATGAGCGCAGAGTTATCAAGGGAACTCTCAGAAGAGTGTCTACCCCCACCTGGGGCGGGGGTGGGAGTGAGCAGCCTGAGCGGGGAACCCTTATCCTGCTCGGTCTTGCGTGGGACCCAGATCAGCTGGGCAAGGGCCATCTCCTGGTTGCTCGCCCATCTCTGAAGGAATCAAAAACAGTCTGATTGCTGGATTGCCTCTCCTGGACCCGTGGGCAGGAGCAGGTCCTGGGCTAGAGTCAGGACCCAGACATAACCAGAGTCCTGAGTGGAAGACAGAGCCCCATCCCTGTCTCCGAGGGGCCAGATAGATGCTGAGTTCAGACCTTGTCTCTTGACAGTCTGGCCACACTGACTTACACAGTCCTCCCTGTCTCTGAACCTCAGTTTCTTGATTGGTCCTTATAGGTCTTTGGGCAGGATTATGATGCCCCTACTTCTCATGCCCGCTCAGCCTCCTCCAAGGGCATGACCACGGGCCTAACTTTGCCCCAAAGGGGTGTCTGTCTCCTTCATTGAGGTTGTTGGCACTTGGTATGTGCTGTCTTCTGACACTAAATCAGTCAGTCCCCTGCCTCACTGGCTAGGCCTTGGGGGTTTTGCTTGTCTTATTTTGTACAGTATTGGGAACTGAGCCTGTCACCTTGCCTTGTCCCCACAGGCAGATCAGCAGCTTGATTCCACCCCTACGTGCTCATCCCACTGCAGGGCCCAGGTCTGTCTGAGGTCCCAGTCAAGTGGCCGGGATCAAACTCCATCACCCCAGGGGCACAGCGGAGAGCATGCTGCAGCACTTTCAACATGCCAGAAGGCAGCCAGGAGGCCCCAGCAGCCATTAGCAGAAAGTCTGAGACACTCCTGTGAGTTAGGACATCCACATTCCTTAATTGACCCACCAAACACTGCAGCTCTCGAAGATCCCTTTCCCAGCATGAGACTCCAAAGAGCTCTTATTAACATTTCACACCGGGGAAGGGCCTGACTTACTGAGGCCAGAGCCCCAGAGTCTGGAATATTGATTTATAACACAACCAGGCTGTTCTGGGCCCACCGAGAGCCGTCTGACCCAAGACAAATCTCTTCCCCTCTCCTGGGAAAGTGAGAGAGCTTTGGTTTCCCTGAGGTGGTTAGGGCTTGGAAGCCGATGTGAGTGAACAGCGGGCTCTCTGGGTCTCTCTACAGAGGCGCAGAAAGGCAGGATGTGTCTCCAGGGAGGGGCTTTTGGTTTTGGTTTAGTGGAGGTTTCCATGTTCACTGAGTGTGTGTGTGTGTGTGTGTGTGTGTGTGTGTGCTGGTGTTGGCTTGATGTTTTAGGGCCTGTCCCTATGGCTGAAGCCCCCCCCCCAGCAGTCCGGTCTCCCTGCCCGCCAATCCCAAATCATAGCTCCCAGCAATGATAGCAGCTCCTGCTGTCCCCCGAGACCCCCAGCTGACCACAGGCCAGGCTGTGCTAAGCAGTTTGCCTGCTCTGTCTCCTGCCCAAGCTTCTGCCAACCGGGAATGGGCAATTTGTCCCCAGGTGTGGGGACACCTCCGGGCTGCTGGAGAGTGGGGGGTAGGACCCTGCGCTGGTAATCAGATGATATCACCTCCTCCAGCCAAGTCCTGCAGGAGGCTTCTTTGGGGTGAGGGGACTTGGCACAAACTTGGGCTCCCATCTGGACTGAAGAAGACATGCAGGGACCTGGATCCACATACTGGGGGACCACAGCGGACACACACGTGAACCTCCTAGAGCTGGCCATGGGGTGCGGGGAACAGCCACCCACCCAGCCTTGTCCAAACAGGAAATGCTTTTGTCCCAAACAAACCTGGGTCATGGCCTCTTTCCCCTGGGAGCTCCAGCTGGACCTCAGCTCGTGACTGTTCCTGACCCCACTTTGTCCCATGAGACCGCCTCCTAGCCCAGGCTGCACTGAAGCCCTGTGCCCAGCAACAGGGCCCTGGCAGATCTGATCCATGCCCACAGCCCCAGGCGTTCAGGCACCATATATCTGCCATCAAAGGCTACTCAGATAAAAGGCAGGGCCTTCTAGATCCTTCCAGGCTGGGAAAGCGCCAGCTCGCACCTCGGGCTGGTGAGGACTGGCTGTGTCCAGGGGCTGGGCGAAGGAGGCACTCCGGCTGGCTGGGTGGGTGAACTCAGCCCACAGGCTGCAGCTGCCCTAAAGTGAACTGCTCTTCTCACCCAGCTGAGGCTGGCGGGCAGGGGAAGGAAACTGTCAGGAAATCATAAATTAGAACTGAGGGGCTTCCTGCCCTTCTCTGGAACCCTCCAGAGGAGCAGCCTGGGCTTTAAGGGTGGTAGACAAAGCACAAGTCACCAGAAAGCATGGTGGGACAGCGCGTCTCCACTGGAGGGTTCTCGGTCATCTACTGGAACTTTTCCGGACTCAGTTTCTCCATCTGGAAGATGGGGGTAACAGGAGGACTTGGAATGTGCTCTTTTAACTACGGAGGGGTGGAGATAGAAGTCTTCTGAAAACGTCCATTTCCCTTCTCCCTCGGTCTTTCCTCTGGCCCGCATCCTCCACACGGCTACCTAGCTGCCCTCCGGGGTTCTTTCTTGTTTCGTACCACTCTGCAAGTGTGGACTGAGGATGCTCGTCACGTAGCATCCGCTGTAGGAGTGGAGAGAAGAGCCTTTTGGGCATCCATACTGCAGCCGAGTGGCTGATGTATTTAGTGTCATTTAAAGTTGGGATGAAGGGACATTAACTGAGGTTCCACCGGGTTTAAATTCTAAATCAATGGTGACAAGGCTGGTCAGAAGGCTGCTTGCTGACCTGGGGCCCACAAATGTGTTCCGCAATGTGGAAAGGTGTGCGCGTCCCAGCTCCAGTGAGATCAAGACCGCCCCTGCTGGATGCGTCTCAGATGAAGACCATGGCTCCCCGAAGTTAGCTGGATATGGAAGAGTAGAGGGAGGGAAGAGGCAATGCTCACACCAGAGAGCCTGAAATTGCTGGCTGCCATGTTAGTCCCAGGTGGCACTGAGTAGGCCCTGGGAGGCCCCTCTCCTGACCTCTCCC